CAGAGGCGCCTGTCTCGCAGGGTAGGGGCCTGTGGTTCCTACGGGCATGGACTGTCCAGCCACAGCCCTCCGGAGCGTCACAGCGGTCTCGGGGCCACAACAGCCGACAGCGCCCATGTTCTCTGGGAGTCCGAGCCTCTACCAGGTGAATGTATAAAGAAGTGGTTAGCAGCTTAGGACCTATGCCAGTAGATAAGCAAGGCTGCAGTAAAGGAAGCCCCCCCTCCCCACTCACTCACACACACACATACACCAATTCATTATTGTAGTGGAGCCTAAGAACTGTTCTCGGGGCCACAACAGCCGACAGCGCCCATGTTCTCTGGGAGTCCGAGCCTCTACCAGGTGAATGTATAAAGAAGTGGTTAGCAGCTTAGGACCTATGCCAGTAGATAAGCAAGGCTGCAGTAAAGGAAGCCCCCCCTCCCCACTCACTCACACACACACATACACCAATTCATTATTGTAGTGGAGCCTAAGAACTGTAATTACTGTAGTGGCAAAACATTTCTATTGTGCCAAGAGAAAATTGGCTCTAATTAAAAAAAAAAGTTAAGTAGCGATTTAAACCCTTCATATAATCTTAGGCTGTGTCTACATTGGCATGATCTTGCACCAAAGCAGCCGCTTTTTGCGCAAAAACATGCCTCATGTCTACACTGGCGGGGAGTTCTTGTGCAAGAACACTGACATTCTAATGTGTGAAATCAGTGCTTCTTGCGCAAGAACTATGATGCTTCCGCTCAGGAATCAGGAATAAGCCCTCTTGTGCAACTGTTCTTGAGCAAGAGGCCAGTGTAGACAGGCAACATGAATTTCTTGCACAAGAAAGCCCAATGGCTAAAATGGCCATCGGCGCTTTCTTGTGCAAGAGAGCGTCTACACTTGCATGGATGCTCTTGCGCAAAAGCACATCTCTTGCACAAAGGCACTTGCGTTAAATACTTTAACGAAAGAACTCTTGTGTTAAAGAGTATTTGCGCAAGATCATGCCAATGTAGACACAGCCTTAGTGTTACCATAGTATAAGCAAGCCGGAGGAGCTTGCTTGACTTTTCAAGGACACTGTTTGACTTTAGTTATCTCCTTGATTGTTATTGTTCCTTGGCTTATTGCAATCTTTTTTTTCTTTCATCTAACTGTAATTATATCTTGTTCTATTCTGCTCACTTTACTGCTCTACCTCATTGTGACGGCATGTCAGGGTTCCCCCGATCTTGCAGCAAGAACAGACTCCGCCAGCCAGTAGAAAAGAGAGGGTTTATTGCTTCTCCAGGATACAGCACAGCATAGATGTGATGTTGGCTACGGGAGTCGGGAACAGGCAGCCTTAGACCCCTTGGGTTAGGGGATCCATCGCCGCACTCAGCTTATTCTGTTCCTTTCATGTTTCCCAGCCAGAAACTGCCTCGCTTCTTGATCCTGCCCCCCGGCCAGGTGTTCGTCTAGGAAGAGTTTTGCTAACTGCTTAGGTTGGGACTAGGTGTCTGGGCCAATACACAGGAATAGTTTTGCTAACTGCTTAGGTTGGGACTAGGTGTCTGGGCCAATACACATGTGGGTGAGTCAGTGGGAATTGCACATCACCGTGCAGGGGAACCCCGGGTTACAGATCAGACAGTACCCCCACTATGTCACACTCATAAAGCTTCTTCTCTGTTTCCCAATCTCCTGAGGTGGATCTTGCTCCGATCAATACTTTTTTAAAAACTTGCTTTCTTCTACTTACCCAAAAGACAATTATGTCTGACTGGCTCTCCAAAATGCCCAAATCCATCAATGAGAGGTATTTCTAAAGATATTGTTATGTTGGTATCTAATAAGGATGCCTCAACGAAGCCTCTCCCCCATTCCCAGAAGCGGAGCTGGCAGCCCCTGCCAGCCCTGCTTACAGGGTAACCTGACTACCCAGGAGTGGAGCTGGCCCCTCGGAAGTTTCGCTGCTGGCTCTGCAGTATAAACCTAAGAACATAAGAACGGCCATACTGGGTCAGACCTAAGGTCCATCTAGCCCAGTTACCCTTGCTCTGCCTTCTTCCCTGCCCCTTCTCTAAGGCCCTGCGCTGTTCACTCCATCCACCTTCCCACATCCTCAATCATTTTCACCAGGTTGGGTCAGTGGGTTGGACAGCAGGGGAGTACAGGTTCTGTTGGGCCAAGGGCTTTGGAGTGTGGGAGGGGAAGAGGTGAAAGTAAGCAGCTGCGCAACTCCAGCAAGATCTGGTTGAGCTGCACAAAAGCCGGTAGGGAGCTATTTAAAGAACTGGCAGGGACCTGGGTTGTAATAGGACAGTACCAGTAAGAAATTTCTAAGTTACTTTCATCTCTGGGGAGGGGCTTCAGACTGAGCCAATGACTGGTTAAGGTGTATGAGAGGATTCAGGATGCAGGCAGTAGGAGGGAGTTTGGGTGCCAGAGAGCCTCAGGACTGGGACAGGGAGTTGGGGTGCAGGAGGCTGAGGCAGGGGTTCAGGATGAAGAATCTGGCTGGGCATTGTTTACCTTCGGTGGTTCCTGGACAGTGCCACAGTAGGGCTAAGGCAGACTCACCCCTGTGTTGGCCCTAAGCCACTCTCGAAAGTGACCAACATGTCCAGCATTGGCTCTTGTGGAGGAGGGGCAGGTGGCTCTGCTTACTGCTCCCTGTCTGCAAGAGCTGACTCATACCTCACATTACTTGCAGTTTCCTGTTCCTGGCCAATAAGCTGTGGGATGGTTCCTGAAGACAAGGGTAGTATGTGGAGACTCCCTCTTCTGCCTTGCCCAGTGGTTGCATGAGTGTGCCAGCTGCTTTTCAGATTGGCACAGAGCCAGGGTAGGGGAAGAGTCTGCTTTAGCTATGCTGCCAGACTATTTAGTGGCTGATCTGATTTGACTGTAGGCGCCTCCAGGAGATCAAACCTGATTTCAGAAAACTCCCAGCCAATGTTGCATACATGGATGGAAAATATTGGAATGAATATTGTTACGTGCACCAGTATTGAAGTAATGTAGAAATATGCACCACCAGTGGAAACCAAAAATCTAGATATAAAATACATTTAAAAAAGATTACCCTAGGAATACTTACTCCAGCCATAATAAGTTAGGAAGTTTAGATTTCACTACTCAAAAGAATTACATTTAAGCATGAGAGAGAAATAAAAATTATGAAATGCATCAGTCAGTTAGATAGCTAAAATAACACACATTGAAAAAAATAAAAGAAGTAACAACCACAACAACACAAGTATATGTTGGGGCAGAAGGCAAGTATGAAAGACAGAATGTTTTTGAGTGACAGATATATACACAGTGGCTGTGTCTACACTGGGCCACTTATTCCGGAAAATCAGCCGCTTTTCCGGAATAAGCTGTGAGCTGTCTACACTGGCCCTTGAATTTCCGGAAAAGCAACGATGCTCTACTGTACAAAATCAGCTGCTATTCCGGAAAAACTATTCTGCTCCCGCTCGGGCATAAGTCCTTATTCTGGAACACTGTTCCGGAAAAGGGCCAGTGTAGACAGCCC